CACACTCCCCGCCTTAGCCTATCCCCGTTAATGTCATACATCAGCAAACCATTGATATATGTGTTTTGGAGTGATAGAAAATGTCAGCCTGAGTTTGCTTACCAAGGGCGACTGCCCCAGTGCCTGTGACCGTGTTAGATCTATACCACACTGATGTTTTATTACCTGATGTCCGATTGTATTGAACATGCGGTCTGTTGTTTTCCACTTATTTTTCAAATGTGATGCGTAAGGTCCTCAAGGCCACACAACGCTTGTTATGTTGGGCTGGCTAGCCCTCTCATGCTCTCAATACATGTAATGAGATGACTGTACTCCCCTACCCCGAATGTGTATCGCGGAAGTTGCTATATTGTTGAGACACTGTCTCCTTATGTCATTGTACCTTTTCTGTATATAATAAAGCTGATTCTTGATTTAAAAAAAATTAGGCAGTGCCACTGCTGTCATTGAGTTTAGGCAGGTACAACCTTTAACCGCTTGAAGACCAGGTGTTTAGACCCCCTTCCTGGCCAGGCCATTTTTCAGTGTTCAGTGCTGCAGTACTTTGACTGACATTTATTCCGTCACGCAACGCTGTACTGAAATTAATTTTATACCATTTTTTGGGGATAGATAGAGCTTTCTTTTGGTGGTATTTAATCACCACTGCGGGTTTTATTTTTTACTATATTCAGGAGAAATTACTGAAAAAAAAAGTTTTTTTTTACATTTCGTGTATACACGCCCAGTTACATCCAAGAAGCTCCCGGCAGGCCGAGTATACACAGCGGCTGGCCAGGAGGTAGTTGCTATCACAGAAAGCTTCCAGATCAAAGATGCAACTTGACCAATACTACACCCCAAATAAAAAGGCAATTCCATCATTAAACTACTTTGACCAGAAACTCATCACTCTTGTAAAATACACAGATGCCATCCAACTTGCTACATGTATTAAATGTTTCATCCTCTTAGAATAGAATTCCAGCCAAACAGTTAAAATACATGTGAATGGTTCTGTGAAATGTTCTACTAACCAAAATATTCACAATTCACTTCAGCCATTAGTTATTAAAACCCAGAAGAGAACATAACCACCACTGATGCAGCTCACTGGACTTTGAATGAACCCGCTAAGATCCAACTGTTTCAACACCTCCCTTTTCAGTGCCTGAAGGTATGTTAAACCGACGGCACTGTGCAATAAACAACTGGGATGTCACACAGCATAATTCAGCTCTCTTTATGATCTATGCTTCGTAGGTGGTAATACAGGATGATGTCAGGTAGCAGCATTATAATACATTAAATGTTTTAATGAATTACAGGACTTTAGTTTTTTGTTTTATATTTTGCATAGACTGTCAATGTGAAACAAAAGGTGAATGACCATTTTGGTAATTTAAGGGAGCGGCTGTCTATTGAAGACAAGATATCATACAGAATTCTAGAGGTGTGGTCTTATTGACACAAAAAAATTACTCTAGAATACCTACCTGAATCATGCATTCAAACTGATACATACAGAGACCTAATTCAGCCATGCTGGGTTTAAAGAGCTCCCGTAGTCGATAGTCTTGCATTAATTTTACAAACACACAAAAAGCTTCTTCCTCAGGCATCTGAAATATGTAAATGAGGCCAATTAAATACTAAACAGTTAAACTAAAATAAAAAATCAATTTGAACCAACATTTCGTTATGTACAAACACACAAATTTTCTAATTAAAACCTAAAACATCATAAGTACAATACCTACTAATACAATTATACATATATCAACAAGGAACTTAAACAGTCAGCAGTTGTTAAAGGAGAACTATGAGATGAGTGATGTCCACTCACCTCATAGTTCTAGCCGACCTGTGACAATGAGACTGTCACAGGTCGGCTCAGTAGATCGGGAGGTGAGCGAACACATACCAGGTTCGCTCACCTCTCGACGCTAGTTTGTGTCCTCCCGTTACCCTGAGAACTATGTGGAAAAACACTGACCCCATAGTTCTCCTTTAAGCTACACCCACACAGCTGTATATGCAGAAGTGATGTGACCGCTATGACAGGTGCTTTTACCTAATATACAGGTATGGAAAAGGGCCAGGAAAGAAAAAAAAAAAATCACAGTACATGCAAAAATAAAATTTTCTCACTTTCATTCAGATATTTAACCGTAATAGAAGGTCCTAAACTAAAAAAAGAATCTCTCCTTTTGTCCACAGAGAAAAGGAACAAATATTTCCCTTGGACAGGGGTCAGCAGTACCCACCTTGAGGAGAAAATATAAAGAAGCTTATAAATGCTGAAAAACACTACAGAATTTAAAACAAATTCTTGTAACCGATAGATCAGAGTTGGCATAGCAAAATGTTTGGCTTAGTCAGCTAGCATACATGAAGGTAATTTCCCCATATGATTTTGCCAAAAATGAGATGGAGATGGAGGAGATGGAGATGGAGGAGATGGAGATGGAGGAGATGGAGGAGATGGAGGAGATGATGATGGAGGAGATGATGGAGATGGAGATGGAGATGGGGAGAATAAAATAGTGGAAGATTACAATTTAGCAGAGAAAGAGGGGACAAGAAAGGAAAGAGAATAGAAAAGAGCTCACAAAAAACATAAGTATAGAATTAGATAAATCCTCATTAGGGTAGTCTTACTTCTCAAATACACTCATACACTGTTGCATCAGTATTGAATAGTTTAAACTATTAAAAGTCACTGGTGGAAAATGTAAGTGAACCTCTAGGATGTAACATGAAAATATGGAAGCCGCAGTCATGCATACCAATATTAGAGTAAGGTGTCAAATAATTTAAGTCCTGGCTTTACCTGCCCAGTCTACTATGATCAAAAGACATCAAAGGGCCTCAGAATTGCAGTTGATGAAGCTTTAAAACTAGAGAATATTACTAAAGATAGGGGACTTCTAACTCTCCCATACTACCAGCTTATATGATGCTCACACCATTACAAGGTCATCCCATTCATATGTGTTCCTCAGCGCCAACTTACCCCTGCAATGACCACGGGATGCCAAGTCACCCACACCCTGTTCTACCCTTATGACCCGGAGAGGGCACAGCTCCCACGCTCACTGCTCCCACTTCTGTTTTCTTTACGACAGTGGACGCATCAGCATATAAGCGTATTCCGCTTGCGCTGGGACTCTAGCCCTCTCTGTACTTATTCCCTATGCAAAACGTCGAACCCTGTTTGTTCGAATCACACCATGTGTTGAAATGTTTTATAGTCACGGTTACCGCATAACTGTGTGTGAATATGCCTCATATCCATGTGCATTATTTTATATTGTATTTTGTACAACTCGAAAAAAAACTCTTAAAGAATTTACGAGATCAGAGTGAGGTTACACCATGAAATTCTGTAGAAGGTGCCAAGGGACAGCTAAGGATCTACATGCATCTCCCTTGACACTGTTCATTAGTTTACTAAATAAACCCTTTAAAAAAATCCTGTTATCCTGTTAAAGGGTGGCTCCTTTACCGTGCAGGGTCCTCTGGAACCACCCTAGTGTGTGCTAGTAGGCAGTGTGTCCCCCAATGAAAATACAGCAAGACAAGTCACTCCCCTGTCTAGTAGATTGGACAACTACCGGAAAGGCTTCGCTGGGCAATGTAAATTTGTTTGATCATTTATGGGGAAAAAAGTTTGAGCGTTGAATAATACTTTAAGATCACCTGAATGTTCCATAGCACTAGAATACTGGACAAACATTGAACTCGTCCGTTAATATACATATATGTTTAAAAAAACAAACATCCAAAAACAGAACACCAAAACGTCACAACCATAAACATACTGAAGTAGGACAGTGAGAGGCTGATTAGCTGCCTCTGGGTCAATCCAATTTAAATATCAGTATCCTGAGCTTTAAAACATGGAGTGACTTTTAATAGACAAAGGATACTATTAGTCATTAGAAGGTCTTTAGAAGCTAAAGATTTTGGATAAAAGAGAAAACGTTCTGCCATGATTTTTTTTTTTGTGCACAGAGAGCCATGAATCTTACCTGCATAAGTAAAAGTCCCACAATAAAAGCACTTCCTTGGCAGTATCCCACTTCGCGATCCACTAAAGAATATGCCTTGATACATAAAAATAACTCGCGTTAAACTAAACATTCCCATGCAAATTAAAAAAATGTATTAACAACAGATTCTGAAGCCACAGAAACACCCCTAAAACTACACCTACCAGGGTATAGTTCTCAGATCATTATCCTACACATGCACAGCCAATTTGCGTCATATAATAGCCCTTAATGGGAATCTGTTATGTGCAAATCATGGAAGTTGCCACTGATTAAGTCCAGGTGAAAAATTTGACGGCTGCAGTCGCTGTTTGGATATTCTTACAGCTGTGGGCACCAGCTGTCAGAATACAATATCCAGGAAGGGAGAATCTACCATCTACACTGTTTAAAGGAAGCGCTTCAATTGATTTTTGTGACTGATTTTGACAGAATTTGTCTGACAGGCACATTAAGCTATAAATTAGTGTAGAGCTGGCCATACACCCTGCAAGCTGAAAACCACAAATCTCTTAGAGTATGGCTAGCTTTGAGCTCATTTATTGCTAGTTCTGATCTAAAATGTGCTCAAGTCAGACAAATCCAGTTAACTAGTGTTTTTTTCAGGATGTCAGCAATGGCAGTCCCAGTACAACTCTAGTGACTGTATCACTTCTAACTTAAAAATTATTGATTGTATTTTAGACCAAAATATAACAACGAAAAGGTGAGGTCCATTACCTGATTTTTTATTTTTATTTTTTTACAGTGAGAAAGGGTTGGAACCCCATCAGGTTTTATTGCAATCTGTGTGTCCGTTGGGCAGACAAACCTCTGTGACCCCCCCTCCATAAACAGAAAGGGATGAGAAATGAAAAATGTTATGTTTGTCACTGGTACAGAGGGTAAGCGGAAACCAATAAATGGGGACACTAGTTTCAGTATCAACTGTATAAAAGGGGATTTTCTCTTTACTTTGAAGAAGTTTCTCCTGACATCATGATGGGACTTTTGGACAGGAAGTGGAGAAATCTTCCCAACAGTGTACAGACAAAAAAATGAAAAAGGGATTCTAACCCTTTCTTTACCTGAATCTAAAAAAACTTTTGCCTAGAGGCGCACTTTAAATTTCACTTTAGTATCTGTCCTTGCATTTATCTTCCCTCCCCCTTCTTATGGAAGGCAAAGAGAAAAAGTTCTCTCAAGGCAGAGGAATCTCTTTAAGCTTCCCCAGGTAACTTAAAAGGTGGAGGAGTTAAGATAACTATAAGCTTTAGGGGCCAGGATTAAAGGGAACCTGTTGCTTTGCCCTACAAAAGGACAAGTAAAAGGTTAATTCTAAGTAGGAGATTATGTGTGCATTTAAACAACAAAAAATCAATAAAAATAAAATGTCAAAAGAAAAGAAAAAACGCCCATGTACCAGAAAACTAGCTTCATCAATATAAAGATTCCGATTTTAGAAACCATCACAGCAATATATGATGAGATAGAATAAATATTCCCATCTCTCCAAAAACAGGAAATTACAATAGCCCAATTCGGGGATTTTCAGAGGGATTTAATAATGATCTCATGTTTACAAGACCCAGTCTTGACCGCTACAGGCAGGAAGGTTTGAAAACCTGTCCTGATCGCTACTGCCCTAAGAAAATATTACATCAAGTATATAAAGATAACCACTTTCCACACAACAATCCCCTTTCCTGCTCTAAATCCTCGTAGTAGCTGTTTTGATAAGTAAAATATTCCAACTAATACCAACCTTCATGACATTGAACAGAACTTCTTGCCCCAGGCTATCTTTCTCTTTGAAGAAATCATGTTCTGGATACGTCCTTGCAATGTCCCTTCTGATGAGCTTTTCACACGGTGAGGTCATTTTCAAGAGCTCCGAATACTGCTCTTTGATTGGCATATTTTGAGCATTGCATAATAACTGCCATACAATGGCACGAAAGTGATGTGGTATTCCTTTTCTGACCAGCTCCTGGAACACAAAGACACCGATGACTACCAAACACAACTGAAACAGACAAATAGTTCACAAAAACAATCCTGAAGCGATTACGCTGCAAGATTGATTTTATTATCTAGTTTTCCTCTAATTACTTGGCTTCGGTCTCACTAAGTAGAAAGGGGAGAGGGGATACAAGTTTCTAAAAAGTTTTATTTGGAAAAAAAATATGAAGCAATTATATACCAAACCACTATACATTCCTTTAAGCAAGGAGTAGGAAGATTGGCATGTTAAACTGGGCAGGATTATCTTACATGTGATGACCAAATGTTGGGACTTTAGATATAAATCCCAGTTTACCTCTGCAGCAGAGAGAATGCTGAAAATCATTTACTGAAAAGGACGTATGCCATGAAAAGGTCAATTCCATATGCTATCTGTCCACAAGGACACCGACCCCAAACAACGGTTCAATATAGGATGTTACACTAGGCACAGGCTGACCATTTTCCACACAAAAGTTTAATTTACTCATACCCTGTTTCCCCGAAAATAAGACCTACCCTGAAATTAAGACCTAGTGCCATTTTTGGGAATTGCTAAAATATAAGACCTACCCCATAAATAAGACCTAGTTGTGAAAAATCCCATGGCCGGTGGTGTCATAAGGGGGAACTTGAAGAACTGCGGGAGAGAATCAGCGGTGCCAACGAAGCCGGCGCTAGAGGAAGCGAGGCGGCAGCGCAGGGAGTAGAGCCGCATAAGCCGATGCTTCCTCTATAGCGCCGGCTCCTGTCACAGGCGGAGTGATACCAAATGCACTCCCCCTGTGAGGAATCCATAGTGAAAGCACACTTTGCCATTTTGGATTAATTTGCATTAACTTTGGAGTGTTATACATAAAAGAAAAAAATAAGACCTACCCCGAAAATAAGACCTAGTGTGTTTTTTTGAGCCAAAAACAATATAAGACAGTGTCTTATTTTCGGGGAAACACGATAGTTACTTTGGCAGTGATCAATGTGCAGTAATAAGTTTTCCATCGCCTCTCCTGAAGAACAGTTCAGTGTAGAACTACCCCGCCAGTCACTGTGAATCGAACTATGGAAATACATTATTTCTAGAGGCCTCAGTGCTAATTAGTGACGAGCCTGGGCTTGGTGTAATCCTGGTTCTTCTGAGTTCACCCAATTCTGCTCAAAACTGACTGCCACCCCTTCCTCCCGAGCCGTTTAGTTACGGAGGCACATTCCACACCCCACAGCTATATGTCACAAATTGGTGGGGAATGCCACTGCAACTGTCAACACGGATTGGTTCCGGAGGGAATAGTGGCTGCCACAAGTATAAACCCAGTTGGCCCAAGCCTGCACTAAGCCCAGGCTCATCACCAGTGCTAATTAACCAGATCAAATAACAGTCTTACATTCTCCCGGTTACCTTATAGGAAGGTATATAAGAAGTGATGAAAGCAAACTATGCCATTTTGTTGTGGCTGGGCAGTTATGTTACTGCAAAGCACCCCTATTTAATTCCAACTGCATGCCACTGATCATGTGACCAACACACATGGTGGTCACATGGTGTTAGCAATACCATGACCTGGATAAATGAGAAAACCCTAGGGAGACACTATTACGTATGTATTTATGCTCTAATTTTAAGTTCTAGTACAGAAATTACCTTATGTTTATTCATGTGACATCAAATGGGTAGTCAGAAGGTATCCCCCTGTTGGGAAATAACTGCCAGGGTGTTGGATCTATACTATATGAGCAATAGGCATTACATAATGCAGGTAAAAGGAATCTAAATCTGCAATAGGTTGAGCCTATTGGGAAATAAGTGATGTCCCTATTTAAAATGGTGAAGCGTATTTTGGGAAATGTTGTGCAGTGACAGAATAATTCAGAGAAGATATGCAACTGATTCAGCATGCAGTCCTTGTACTGCAGGTAGAGGTTTTCAGATGTACAGAGGTCTAACCAAACATATGTACTTGTGTCCAATACAATATTGAGCAGCATGTGGGGAAACTTTAAATTGTAGAGTTAGCTGTATTGCACTTACAAAGCCCTAACCAAGTTTAGGAATAAAGACTATCAATTTACCTAAAAGAGATATATAGATCTATCAGGCAGAGAAAATGTAATATTTAATTAACATTAAGAACCCTTGGAATTGGTCACACCTTGATTTGTTTCTCTTTCTTCTTGTACACTTCCTCCCACTCATTGACAATACGTCCCCAGAGCAGCCAGGAATCCTCCTCTTGATGGTGACTGAGATTACTGGATGCCGAGGAGCTGGACACCAGGGAAGACCCGCTGTTTCTTCTCGATCCATTGACAGATCGCAGCGATTTACTGTCAATTTCTAGCAGCCTGCAAACAATAAACAACTTTAAAATGTGCCCATGGATGGATCAATGTTTTCATTGAATAAAGCAGTACAAGAGGACCCAAATCAAAAAAAATATTAGAGAGCAGCTAATGGCCTTCATTCTGGTAATTTACAAAAGATAACCAAGGTTCCCATAGCCACCAGAAGGCACAGACTGATATTCCACACCAAAGTCTGATGGCAGGCATAGCTCAGCTGACAGGTTGGGGATCAACCAGTCCAAATGGCGCTTGGACAACCAGTCCAAATCGCTATAGCTCCTCTGCAGGTACCTAGAAATAGAACTTCATGCCCATGTGACTTTTTATTTAGGTTTACTTTACCTCGGCAGCAACCAAACAATTCAGGTGAGTGCTGTCAGGGAGGATGACTTCTAGAATATGTAACATACAAGATATTATACCCAGCAATCTTTTTCCCATCAAAATGTTCACTTCATGTACCTAAATATCATACAGCTCAATTGTTCTCACAGAATCATCATACAACCAATAACCCTTGTCAATCTTGCAATGTCTCATGAGACTTGTAGTTCCACAGGAGCTGGAGGTCCGGAGTTGCCCACCCCTATATTAGATGAAATATTTACCCATTTTTAATCTACTTCAAGTGGCATTAGAAAAGCAGAACAAACTCCATCCACTTTACCTGAAAAGATTGAGAGCTGACATAAGGCGGCGATTTCTCCAATTCCTATACAACGTGAAAAGCTTTTCCCAGCAACACGACGAGCTCTTACTGTGCAATGTGCAATCATTTAACCTTGACAAACGGACAGCAGGTAGTTTTTGGGTTGGACTGCAGCATTTTGGAACTCTGAAGCTGTAATGTTGACAGATCCCAGGACTTACAAAGTAAATGCAAATAACCTTTGTACTTCAGTTGCCAACACTGAATGTCTCTCTGGACATCCACACAATCCACAAAATCTACACATAGAAACACCAGATTTTAAACATTCATATGCAACATATATGATTGAAGTAACTTAGAACTACCAGGCTAAATATTACATTTTAATTTTGTTATATACAGACCAACAAAAAAGGGGTGATATGACTATAGACAATACAACAGAAAAACGGTGCATTCCACTTTGGTACAAACAAAATGTGTTATCTTCAGCGGACCTTTACCCCCCTTCACTAAAAAAATCACATCAGCACGCAGCTCTGCGTGCTGATATAAAACCATCTTACATTGATTAGTTAAATAAACCTATTTTTCTTTTATTTACAATTATTGTTTTTCCACTTCCTGGTCCTCTTCGCATTAGTGATGTAGCCCATGTCTAGGAGAAGGTTACATCACAGTGCGTTCAGGGGCAATCTCATTTGTAATCTCACGAGATCTCAGAGAAAGGCATTTTCCCCCTGAGATGGACTAATCTGTCCTTAGTAAAAATGGTGAGAAGAATGGGGCGGAAAATAAAAATTTGGTATACAAAGAATACAAAGCCAGCAATTATCTAAAGTATGTGTTTGTCGATTGTCATTACTAAACATTTCTAAAAAGGTGCTTTGTCGTCTTTTTAAAAGATAAGGGTAAAGTTGCTCTGTTTACATCCAAGTACTAACAGCAATGCTCAGATCAGTCACAAGCCTTCACTCGAGACTAGGGATGCACCGATACCGATACAAGCATCGGTATTGGCGGCGATACCGAGTATTTGCATGAGTACTCGTGCTCGTGCAAATACTCCAATACATAAAACGAGTACCTGTGCCGCGTCCGCCATCTTCAGGGACCCGAATCCGCCGCACACAGGACCTCCCATCGCGTCTTCAATGAAGCAAGATGGCCGCGACCTCCTCTGTCATCTGCTCTATTCTGACCTCTTCTCCCGCTGATTGACAGGCTTCCTCACTAGTCAGGAGTGACTGGTGAGGAAGCCTGTCATCATCCAAATCGGCCAATCAGCGGGAGAAGAGGTCAGAATGGATCAGACGACAAGGCTGTGACACGGAGTGGCTGAAGCAGACGGAGAAGACGACACAGCAGGTTAGTACTGCCGCACCTCATGGGGTTGGGCACAAAAATTCTATTTACCGGCATATATCATTTAAAAAAAAGAAAATAACTATGTACTATGTAGACTAACTAAGGCTTGCATCCCCCCTAGTGGTGAAAATAGATGAGCACATGTCTAGACTGCAGACCAGAACACTGTGGCACAGCTATATCCAATTCTGCATACCTGGCTTTAGAGATTATAAGAAAATGTAATAATATAAAGCCAGTTATACAGAATTTGATACAGCTGTGCCACACTATACACTGTGTTCTGGACATGTGCTCATCTATTTTCCCCACTATGGGGGTACAAGCCTTAGTCAGCAATGGCATGATAAATATTCATTTAATTATTCAATGTCTTTTTTTTAAATATTATAAAATCTTATAATATTTAAAAAAAGACATTGAATAATGAAATTAATATTTATCATGCCATTGCTAACTAAGGCTTGTATCCCCATAGTGGGGAAAATAGATGATAGGAAAAAAGGGGCAAAAACCCAGAGAACCAGACCCAAAATTAATTAGCCCCTTAATTGGGTATATTATTTGATGACTCTCAAAAGAGAGAACAACCCCCAGCTGCTTAAACTAGACTCAAGAAAAAGAAGTGAGATCATCTGAGGGCGATCAGCTCAAAGTACAGCTAGTAAGGAGGGTCGGAGACTCAAAATATAATAGAAAATATTATACATTATTTAAAATCTCAATGGACATACTAAATGCACCAGTTAACACCAACACCAGTTCAACATCTAAAATTGGTTATTGCAACAACCCATTCACTCATAAAACACAGAAATGCACTCTGAGGATGAGCTGATCAGCATAATAAATGGTACCGGATTAAACTCAAAAATGTTTGAGGAATTAATTTTTGAGTTTAATCCGACCTGTCCCTATCGGTAATTGGTATCGGCGAGTACTTGAAAAAAAGTATCGGTACTCGTACTCGGCCTTAAAAAAGTGGTATCGGTGCATCCCTACTCGAGACCATTGTACACATTCCATTTGCTATGGAAGATGGGAACTTAGTGTATTTTAATGGAATATACAATTTAGGCGGTTATTATAACTTTAAAGCTGAACAATTGCCATGTGTATCCTCGTTTAAATCTGGGCAAGCTTTTTGCATTTCTTACAGATCTATGCAGTGATCCAACGTGAAACTTTGGTCTTTATTACAGGAAGTTCTCCGCACAGAGACAGTCATTGCTGCTCTCTCTTTGTGCAAGATGGCTGGTCTAGTATCTGCCCCCTCATGTAGTTTTGTAGTGGGCCTGTAGTGGATGGAGCCTGTTGTCTTATTGTATTCGGACCATACCATTATACCCAAACAGTGACTAAAGCCAATTGGCTGCAATCACCATTTGGCGGAAATTTTTTGGTCCAGCTCCTTCGACAAAAGTTGATTGAAGAATAACAGGGGGTTGCTGTGGAATTATGGCGTTAAAAAGATCGGAAGGGGGCCACACACTGCTTAAATTTTGCCAAGTCAGCAGTGCTCACCTGTAAATTGGACCAGCGTATGGATGGCCAGCTAATAGCTACAGAAATAAACACCTTACAGAAATGTTCTCCTCAATAAAAAGATAAATACCTGAAGTTTGGTTTTAAAGCCCATCCAGCCTTTTATTTTGGTTGTGTTTAGAATGGAAAATGGTTAGAACCTGCCAGGTTTTCATTGCTACCCATGTCCCCGTTGGGGAGATCTTAGAAGTGACCCACCACACACCTAAGTGGTTATTCTCACTGTCTTATTTTTGGGTGCTGTGGTAACATGCAGATGGCACCATGATCAAGTAACCAAGGAGAAGTTACCAGCACACCATGGCTTCATCTTCAAAAGAAACCCCTTTACTGACATCCTAACTTGGTATCACAATACATTACAATATTTCGGGACCTCACAGGGTTCCTTCATCAGGCAAAGTGATGATCACTTTGCCTGATGAAGGGACCCTGTGAGGTCCCGAAATATTCTAACGCATTACGATACCAAGGTTGGATGTCAATAAAGGGGTTTCTTTTGAAGATGAAGCCATTGCGTGCTGGTAACTTCTTCCTACCGTTGAGCAGATGTCACCTCTCTCCTTTAGTGGTGAACTGGCAGAAAAAGAGGTGCGAGATCACATATTGATTGCAAACTCCAGTTAAATAGAGACTTCACTGCCAGTGTCCAAGACAATACGCTGTCTAGGATGGACGCTGCCAAGCAGACTCCCTATACTGAAATATAAGTTTTGGATAGAGTGGTGTGTAGTTAAGAAGGGGTCATTATAGCTCCCCTCAACAAAACACTAAACTGCAGTCCATAGATGTGAAATCACCCACATAGGGAAGAAATAGATTTCTAGTTGAAATTAATGTTTATGCAGTAAAGTTTGTTTGTTACTGCAGGAAAATAAACCCTTTTAGGGCTATTCACACCATAGTGTTGCTGAACCACACATTATGTGCATATGCGGTTCCATTCATTTTAAATAACACCCCAATGCAACTGCATTGCAGCACATCCCAACAGCAAAGCACTACCGGTACATGGAAAAAATTATATTGCAGGTGTGTTTTCCTGTTCATGATGGTGCATTTGCAAGCCACTAAAAATAAATGGGCTGCCTTTACATATGCCCATGCGCAACTCATCTGGCAGACCTAAACAGGCCCTTAGTGGTATCCTAGAAAACAGCCAATATGCTAGTCTAGTTGGATGGATCTCTTTCTGCATCCCTATTCCAAGCAAGATCTTTGCCTTTAGTCTGGAAAGATGACAGACAACACCCATCTTTAAAACATCTTCTGCAACCTTTTGCCTCCCAGCTCAATTCTGCTGCTCACAGACTCAAATATACTGCAATAAAAAGTGTTTGTGCAGCAATTTTTATCTCATCAGTGTGTGTTCATATTTAAAAACAATTGTTTCTATGAACAGTTTGTAAATGTATAAAGGGTTGGCCAGACTTAC